GGAATTGGGACCCGGCAGTTCAGACACTTAGCAAAGGGAGCACATGGCGCGTGGTGGGACCAACCTTTAATGTTCAGAGAGAGGGCCAGGTGAGAGCCTCTAGCAAAGAAAGGTTGGGGCCCCAAGCCTGTTAGAAAGCTCCAGCTAGCTGCGCGACCGTCTGAACCGTGGCGGCTACAACAACAACAACAACACCAGCAGCAGCAGCAACAACAACAACAACCACACCAGCAGCAGCAGCAGCAGCAGCAGCAGGAGGAGTAGGAGTAGTTGTTGTTGTTGCTGCTGTTGCTGTTGTGGCTTCAACATTCCGTGCTTCAGACGGGGCAGGGGGGTGGGGGGGTGCGGGGTGGGGGCTTGCTGTTTTTCATTGGCGGCTTCATCACCCTGCAGCCTTTCAGGAAGGTGCCAGCTAATCACAGCAAACGTTGCTTGCTCTGCGGACGCCATTTTACTACTAGCAGTACGAGTTCTCCCGCCTTCAAAGACAACTGTTCAACAGCCCAAACCATACACCTCCGAACCCTGAGAAAGACTGGCAACCGTGTCACTGTTGTTACTACTTCAGCATGTCAAAGCGAGAAAAAAGACGCATTCGAAAAACGCATTTACCGCAAAAACTGCTGGTATTCGTGGGGCAAATGCACGATTTGGCGTGCAAACTCGACGGGGGGCACCAGTGGCTGGGTGACGTTTCTGTACGACTTACCCCACGTACTGTGGGTTAGCTGTTGTTGTTACACACCCTGACAGCTAAAGTAAGGGTTGCCCCAGGGCTCGTCATCTAAAGCTACATAGAAGCTCCAGACCGCAGGGGGTGCCGGGGGCACTGATGACACCGTCACTAACAAAGACGCTCATCAGATGTCTGTGAAGCACTGGGCGATGCTCCTCTGTGTACCTGCGAACCTATGGGAGGTAAGAGTTCAAACGACAATTCAGAAAAAGCATTCCCATCCAACCTGATGTTGGTGTTGCTCTTTTTGTTGTCGCTGTGGCTGTGGCTGTAGCTGTGGCTGTGGCTGTGGCTGTGGCTGTGCCTGTGGCTGTGGCTGTGGCTGTTGCTGTTGCTGCTGTTGTTGTTGTTGCTGCTGCTGCTGCTGGTGTTGGTGTTGGTGTTGTTGTTGTTGTTGTCGTTGTCGTCGTCGTCGTCGTCGTTGTTGTTGTTGTTGTTCGGTGTTGTTCGGTGTTGTTTGGTGTTGTTTGGTGTTGCTGCTCACGCAACCTCTCGCGGCTCCATGCCAAATTAGATGCATGTTTTCAGGCTTTTCAGGGTTCTTACCACATGTTATCAGGCTTTTCAGGCTGTTCAGTGCTCCTGAAGCTTTCATATTGCCTGCTACGTCGTTTGCAGCCTTTCAGGCTTTCAGGGGAAAAGGCGCAAGACGTTCCAGTGGGGAGCTTGCCCTGTGCAACCAGTCTTTCTCTCGCATCCATCTCTTAGGGATGTCCCGTGACGAATGTGATGGATCCTCAGACTCGTGTCACAAGACTCAAGTGAGTCTGTGGCAGTGCAAGACCCCGCCAAACTCTGGAAGTCTCATCGAGCAAGGCTTACAACATGACACACCTTCGCATTGTCTCGGATTCCCTAGCGACCCAGAACTTCCGACGATCACGGGTCAACATGTCTCATGTCATCAATCACGGCTACTTGCTGACCTGCTTTGCGTCAGAGGTTGCGGCTGCTTCGTTGCAAGGACACGGCCGTGGGTCTTACCCTGAGACCACTCAACGAAACCCAACGTGAAAGCGCTGGTATGGACCCCCTTGCCTGGATCAAGGTGTCCTGCAATGCAGGGCAGTGGGCTGAGACGGCTGCTAGGGCGTGGGGACCTTCTTTCGGCTTTGAGTGCCACCTGTCAATCGTTGTAACATCACTGCTCGACCCCCAGCGTTAGACCGGACACCCTGAACCTCTGTAGCAGCGAGTCCTCGAGAGGAGGTGCCACCATGGCTCGCAGCGATGCACGTGGCTGACGCCTACCGTCATGGTATGTCGCACCGAAGTCTGAACTGTGAATAGATTGGCGTTGGTCCTGTTTGATAACGCCCTGGCATATCCGTGGAAAACGTCATCAGCATCCAGCTCGCGCAACCCGGTGCGTTTTCCAATAAAAAGGGAAAATCCAACCATCAAGTCTCAAGCAGGCTCCACTGGAAGATATAAAGCCCGAATGTTCAGATCTTCCAACTTGTATTGTCAAGATCAAAGAAGCCACCAACCTCCTGGCATTCCGTAACGTCGGCCGGCCTGGCAAGACTGCGAGATGCAGAGCTCTGTGCCTCTATGCCTCCATGCGATGGATCATCCCCAGCTTCTAAGTTTAGGGTTTAGGGCCGTTTAGGGTTTAGGAATATACCACGCCGCCTGCGTATGAGGCCCGGCTTGCAACGTTGTTCCGCTGCTACTCAGCCAATCTGCCAACCGCCTGTTAGTTCTGTCAAGCAGCTCTGCTACTTTTGCTTCTGTGCCGTGCTTTCTGAAACTCAGATTTTGCCAGAAGCAACTGCCCGGATGTGAGATCCGGGTATATGTACATCTTGCAGCCGTGCTTTGCATCCACGGAATGCGCGAGAATCTGGGGGAACCTGTCATGAGTCCAGAGCTTCGTCTGCGTAGCCGACATTGCGGCGATCCTTGGGATCGTCCTCCTACTGCAAGTCTGCAGCACACAAGCCAGACGTTGTGAGGGGCTTTGCTCTTGCGTCTTCAGGCATGAGTCCCGAACTCCCTGGCAAGACAAGGCTGGCTCGGCTCAGACCACATCGGGAAGCAAAGCACATTCACGGAAGCGCTGTTCCAGTGCCGCTTTGTCCAGCTTTCTCCCGATGAGGACCACCTGCAAGTCGATTCTGCCTGCAAACTCAACTCATGCCGACCCGCCCCGCCTGCGTGCGCAGCGGCTTCCTGGCGTAGCTGCAGTGCTCCCCGCCCGCTACTAGGCCCCACCAAGGCAACAAAGCCGGCACTACTCTGACGGCCACTCACCGGAGAAGGAGAGATCCAGCATGTCGTGCACCTGAGAACTGGAAGCCTTTGGAAGGTCCCTGCAAGGTCCCCAGGCCCGTTCGGAGCGTGGCTGAGTTCCTGGCGCCTTGCAGGACGAGGCGGACCACCTTCCCTCCCTGGGCACAGGCCAGGATGCCCTTGTAGCCTCAGCCACGACGACGACGAGACGACGACTGCTGCTACTGCTGTTGCTGCTTGTGCTACAATACGGACAATACGGCTGCTACAACTGAAGGTGCTGGCACTATAAATGGCACTACTGCTCCCAGCCGGTCGTTAAACCGATGCGAGCCATCAGTTGCACAACCAAACATCTTGCACTCAATGCTTTTATCGTTGCTAGTGCAGCGAGTAAGTGTCTTCTAGCATGGCCAGCATCAGCGATGCTTGAGTTCATGCTTCAGCAGCTGCAGTTCTCTCTGCACGTTCAACCGTTTTTTGCCACTTCCCTCCGTGTGTCATAGTCATCACCCTCATCAGCAGCAGCATCATTTTTTCATAATATGTTTCTTCGTGACTGTGTTCCACATTACTAGCCTCACGCGTGGGATGCCCCGCGCTTTCATTCTGAAGATGTCTCGGTTGCCTGTGCTAGTATGCTGGCTGCTCGGACCTGCTGGAAATCAACCTGATATGGCCAATCCACGGGTCAGCGGACGCTTGCTTATACAAGTCCAGAATAAGCAAGTCCGAAACAGCACCGGGAAAACCGGCACAGTCTAGCCGACGAACCTGAGCCCTACCTGAACCCGCTGGTCTAACTGAGGCCAGTGCGATAGAGGTCCACGCTGCGCTCCAGCAGCTCGTCAAGCAAATGGTTAAAGCCTCACTTGGCATCCGTTTTGTCTCCCGCCAAGAGAATAGAGGGCGGCAGGATGCCAACAAAGAAGATGCACAATAAGCATTTTACAATCAGTGACAATTCAATGTAGTCTGATTCCGTTGACCTCGCCTTAGCAGATCACCAAAACTGGAAGCAGCTACTGTAGCAGACCACACAGCTGCGAGTGTAGACAATCGAAACCCTTCATCCACCTTCTCGACGTCGACAAAGGCGCCGACGAAAAACAGGTGATAAGTAAAGTTAATGCTGGGCACCAAGCATGCCCAGGGCCAGGGAAGAATTCCCCTCTCACAAAAAGCATTCACAAGCACACACCGAAAGTAGTTTCCCAAAATCAGTTGATTGCAATCCGTGTTATGAGAAATGCAACACGCAAGTTGCCACGCAAGGACAACGTGACATGCAAAAGCGCATATGTTCTACATACTCGTTGCGTCTCTCTCCATGAAGAACAGCAACTCCACATTTAGGCGACTGCAAGACCGCATGCAGGCTACTGGAGCATTTCTTTGTGCCACGTCTCGTTTAAAACGACCTTAACATCGTGCTGTGCAGTGAACCTGCCTCTCTCGACTGTGACAGACCAGGGTTGAATACATCCAACATCCACGCCTTCCTTGTCATCAAATGCGGGTCTGCGTCGGGGCCGCAACAATTCTGCGTGAATCGATTCGTCCTATAGACGCTTGGCAGAAAACATGCCAGCGCCTGCTTCTGAGGGCGGCGCAAACCCTCAATTATGTGTAGTTCGACGCACACTTAGTTGGGCAAGAAAAAGGCGAGACCTCACATGAGACGAACTGATGAAGCCAAGCCTTGGTCTTCCGACTTCTGGCATCTGGCGTGCGAGATTTTCTGCCGCCATGGAGTCTGTTTTTGGTGTCGAGCGAAATCTGCAAAGAGAGAGGTCCAGGAGTTCGTAGGGATCTACCGTAGTACGCCTTTCCGGGCTTGTGAGGTGCCCGGGCCTTGCAGTGCGCCTCTTGGGCTAGGGCGCGGAATGTCCATTGGGACATCCCTTAGCTCCAGAACCTAAGCGTCGAGCTTCAGACTTGGACAGCAAGAATGAATCGCTAGCTTAGGTTTCAAAGCTCATGTCCATGAGGGCATCTAGAAAGCGTCACGACGTCAACGTGCAGCTTGCTATCCTTCAGCCACCTTCGATTCTGCCGGGAGACCATGGATCCGATGTCAGTGTCGTGGTGGGTGTGGGTGTCGTGGGTATCGTGCTCGGACGACGAGTCCGAGCCTCAGTCGGGTTTTTGGAGGAGACCTTGCTCTCTTCACTTCTGCAGGGGCCAACATTGGCTTCTCAACCGCCAACGGCTTCGCAGCCCCTTTCAGCTCAGAACCAGTGCAAGTACCCTCGCGTCGACGGCATCCAAACCCACGGAGGCCCCGGCAATCTGCGTCGTGGCCTCGCCGCGGGATCCGGTGTTTGCAGACTCCGGGCTTTATTCATCTGCTGCCAGGACAGAGGGCAACAGGCACGCCCCCAGATCACCGCGTTGTGATGAAGTCGTTACTGGGTAGTTACAGTGACGATGACGACGGTTGCAGGATTTGGGGCTTGAGGGTTTTGCCTTTTCAGTCGAGCCACTGTGACCGTGATGGGCGCCATGGGAAGGATCCGAGCAGGTTGGATCCTCACAGCCTTGGCACCAACAAGGCCAGGCGCACATGGGCCATGAGCTTTCACACTTCAGGGCAACCTGAGTAGCACTGCATCGATGTAGTGACGTGGATGAGAGCTAGACATTTCAAAGAGACACTGAGGCTTGCACTGTGGGAGTGCGAGTGGCCATGAGAGTGCTCGTGACCCGAAGCATGCGACTCTGGCACCGCTGCCAGGTCAACCTCTCCTGCAAGAACCAAGACCTATCGCTCCCATGCTCGAAGGCAGAACTCCCATCCTTGCTCACTCTCCACGGTGAGCAGCCGGGTCAAGTCGAACGACTCTATGGACACCAGCTCCTTCGCGGGGAACACATAGAACGCACCGTCCAGGCACCGTCCCTCTCCTCCACCGGAACGGCATCCGGTTTCAGAGACAGGCTGCACTCCACCACTGGAGCGAAGGCATTGATCTCGGAATTGCTTTTGGAAGATGCCACATTTCGGGAGGGGATTATGACCCTGACTCTGATGACTCTTGAGGCGGGAACCGATCGAATCGCTGCGATTGTTTCTTGTGCCTGCAGCTCGCGAATGCGAGTCGCACCCGTGGTGCGACGAAGACGAAACATCCTGCGAGGGAGCGTCCGCAGACAGCAGCTGAGCAGCTGCTGCGAGCCTTGTCCCGGCTCACTGCGTCGACTTTGTTCAACAGCACCTCACGGAAGTCAGTCTGCGCGGTCGCATCACCCAGGTGCAGCAAAGAGTGAAACTCCCAAACCACCGCACTTTTGTGCTGCCAGAGGCTTCGCCACATTGGTGCAGAAGTTGAAGCTTGAGGCAATGTATACACATTACACGCATGGTTCCTTTCGGTTTAGGGATGTTTAGGGTTTGGAAAGTCGTTTGGCCGCACCTTGTCGGCAAAGGCCACCTGCTGGGCAGGCTCGTTGACCTTCCAAAGCATAACACGACCAGGAGACTTTCTGTATCCTCTCCAAACTCTCAAACTCATCCGGCGTTCTACATTTCATTTAGCTTTTTGGGGAGCCCTGAAAACTTCCGCCAGTGACTATGCTGGCTTAGAGGTTGAGCTCCGCCCAGAGTCCCGGAGCCGGGGTCCTCGCAGCCCCTTCCGGGCGCTCGCGAGCCAACTGCGTAAGGAAATGGGCTGCATCCACCTGAGTTTTACGTGTCATGGTCTGCAGGTGCCGTTGAAGGATGCAAGTTGGTGCGCCTGGGACATACTGCTTTGCAGACAGGCTGCAACTGTGATGATTCCGTCGATTGTACAATACCTGGCGCAGGAGCTACTGAAGGCTCAAACCTTTGGGTCGGATTTTGCTCGGACCAAAGACATGAATTCCTGTTCTTCCTGTACCTGTACCTTTTCATGCAAGGCTGACCGGTTCACGACGGGGTCCAGCCCGAAGGTCTTGCAGACAGGTCCAGGATCCGCCATGCCTGTCGTCCTAGCAGCAGAGATACTCATCAGGAGGACGAGCAGAATAACTACTGGAGTGGTGCTGGTGCGGGTGGCGGGAGCCGCGGCGAGGGTGGCGGTGGCGGTGGTGGTGGTCGTCGTCGTCATCGCAGTAGTAGTAGCAGTAGCAGCAGCAGTGGCAGTGGCAGTCGCAGTATTTAGTAGTCGTCGTCGTCGTCATCGTCGTCGCAGTAGTAGCAGTAGTAGTAGTAGTAGTAGTAGTAGTAGTAGTAGGGTGTCCCCCCCCGGTGCGACGCCCAGACCTCTTATTTTTTGGCTTTTTTGTGGTCGGAAATGCTGGTATTTACAGCACTT